ACAGTTGGGGTAGCTAGGTCTAATTGAAGTAACTAATTGGTACATGAGTCAGCGGTATGTCCGACCTCTTTACATAAAAAACAATGCAATTTATCCGTAGAAATAAATATTCTGTAAGGAGTGTTTTCGTAAGTAATAACAAAGTTACTATCTACTGAAAAGTTCTCCTTATCGGGGATAATATACGTTACTCTTCGGAAGCTCATTATGTGTGTATAACCTTCTCCGAGTGCACCACATTTCACAAATGACACAGGAGAGACCAGCTGTAATTCAATATCTTTAAGGGCTTTCTCAATTATGGAATGTGGAATTGAAGGAGATACGTTAGATATAAGAAGGGGTTTAGCTGGGGTGATAAGTCTTCTGATGGGAACTACTGTAGGGTTGATAGAGATATTTTGATGTGTTTTTAGAAGGTTATCAACAACTGTATGTACTTATCGTCGCTGACCTTGCAATATCTCCTATGTGACTTCACCTAAACTTTTCAGGAGAGACAAAAAACTTTATAAGTATAACATTTTAATATATTTCAATGGTTTTTTTGTGTTTTATGATCTGCGTTAAAGCGACATGTTTACTTATTATAAAAAAGTTAATATTTAAGTGAATTTAGTTTTGTTAAGCGAGATAGGAGGTATTGCTTTAAGTACTGTTACTCATAGGAGATATTGCTTTTCATTTAATGTGAACTTAGGAGTTGTTGTTTATTAAAATTAAGCATAGCTGCCTTTTGTCCAAATAAAATAAATAATTCTTTGAAATTAAATTAAACATTTTTTTCATACTAATACAAAACATTTATTAAAACAGTCGAAACTTCGAAAAAAAACAACAAACAAAAATTATTTTCATAATTATGTCAAATCGAACAAAATAAAAGGATCTACCCGTGTAAAAGGCTATCATAAAATAAATGTGTATCTTTCGGTAGGGTCGACTTTAGATCCTGCAAATGTTGCCATTTCTCCGTTTTTATTTTAGGAGGCAATAGAAATAAAGGTGGATAGTCCAAAATTGTTGGGATATTCTTTGGTCTGATGGGGACTTGCAAGTATTCTCCTTTATGTTCAGTTTTTATTTCTATGGTCCCTGCTGGATTGTATTTGATACATTTTATATCATTAATGGTTGGGTCATAAGCTTTTCTTCCAGGTCGGATTGAGGAATATCGCATGTGGTTGGACGATGAATAGTCTTTAAAAAACGTATGGTCTAATATTTTCACTCTATATGGCTTAGTTCCTTTCCTTGCTTGAACTGTAATGGTAGCGTAGTCACTTGGTAGATGGATTTCCTTATTTTTAAGACTTCTTTCTATCGTACTATGTACCGAGTCACATTCCATTTGAGAGTGACCCGGTTCAAGATATTTTTGGAACACTAACACATTATGCTTGATGGTAAAGTTTAGTAAAGCGTTGGCCAGGACATTATTACGATTTTGATAACCGCAGCCATCAGAATAAATAACGACTGGCGTTTTGGAGTCGGTAACACAATTCTCCTCTAAATAATGTATGAAACAGGAAACAAATGTGGATGCTTTGAGCTGGTTATTCTCGTTTTCTGAAAACCAATAGCACATAACATCCCGAGTTTTTAGGTTGTAAACTGTGAAGTTATGGCAGGACAATTTGGTTTTGAAGTACATTTTGTTCGCTGGTACATATGGGCACAACTTTACGGCTTGTAGGTCCATTGTTAGTGCTATTATTTCATCTCTTTCACTTGTGGCTTTATCCAAAGTTTTAGCTTCTCTGGCGTCTTCTTTTCTTTTTATATAAGCTCTATATTCTTCTTCAGTCGTATTCTTGTATTTAAATGCAAAACAAATATTGCATTGGTCTTTTTTTGGTGTATATAAAGCAAAATTATTCTCCTTAAATCGTGTTGAGAATACATTGCGACCTAAAGGAGTTATATTCTTTTCTTGACAAAAACTATTCACATAAACACCATACAAATCTGACATACTGGTAAAAGAATATTCTAAATATAATTTTTGTGTTTCGCTACGACAATAGTGTGATGGAAGTTTTGGTAAACTGTCAAAAAATTGTTCCAAGTATTTATGACTTTCTGTATACCTATTCTTTACCATTTTCTTGGTAGAAACATATGATGATTCGTCAGTCATACCGCAAGAACTATTACCAACCCAATAGTGAATAGTTTTATAACCTATATCTAATGTGTTTGTGAACATGGTACGACATACTTGTAAGTTTTCATTCCCGTCATGTAAATAGTAAGTGTATGTACCTTGTCTTCTTGCATTTTCCTTGTTTGATTTAAATGTTGGAGTTTTAAATACATGAGATGCTACAAAAGCCTTACGTTGATCCCAAGTCATACCCCAGAATTTCTAAAGATATGACTTCTGCACTGTTCGGTAAATTCTTTGCAATATCTTAATTTGGAGTTTCGACATTTTTCTGAAGTACACGCCTCTTTTAAACATTTTGCTTTTCTTGGTATATCTTGCTTGATCTTCCCGGATTTTTTACTAAACCCCATGTATACTTCACCTTTCATTCGCAGTTTTTTGTTTTTATATCTTTTCCATTCATTTTTATTCTGACCCAGCTTCCTTTTTCTCTTCATGGTAACTTCAACATCACCGTTTGTGTTCACCAGATTTCTTTCAATATTATTGTTTATACCAGTATTAGAACTGTCTTGATCATTACTGGTATTTGTAGCTTCATAAGTTTCGTCTTCGTCACTAGAACATTCATATGGCACAAGAGATACCACCCTTTCATTTTGTTCATTTGGCAACAGTACTTGTTTATTTGTTAAGTTATCTAACGCGAGGTTTACAGAGTTATTGTCATCAGAACAGCTATTATTCAAAAAATGAATTTCTTGAGATACACTATCACTTGATATAATACAATTATTATTATCCGCTAAAGAGTCAATTTCGTTAAAGTCTTTTAAGCAATCGCTTAAGTCAAAGTCTTCCTGCTCCGTACAATTTTGCAATGTTGTAAGCGTAGTAATCGTATGATTGTCTTCAGGCTGAGGTTCGTCTATTACCATAACTATAGGCGTACTGTCTATATTTAGGTTTTCCCATTCGTTGATTTCACCAGAGTTTACCAGTTCGTTTACTAGTAGAGTGTCTATTTCGTCGCTTCTATTACAACTAAGTTTTCGTTAGCCATTGCAAGCATACGCAAAGTTCTCTTCGACATGAGTACTATACAGTTTATTAAGACACACAAATTCTCCTATCAGTAAATCGCTATCTGTTGCCTACTTGCAAATTCTCCTATCTGAAAAAAAATTATAAAAACTAGATCTTTGTCTATGTTTATCGTTTTAGTTTAGAATATTATTACTTCAGATTTTATAATCACATAATATTATCATTAATATGTACATAATAGCTTGTGAAACTTACCAGAAATATCGTATTTCGTTGATAAACAACTCGCAGTCTAACAGCTTACTATACCTATGATTGCACTATACAAACTGACAAGATAGGACATGTTGCATGTAGTTTTACCGCGTGAATTTAGATAGGAGAAATTGCAAGTGGCATTTTTATATATTTAGACATTTTTCTCGTTCATAGGAGTTCTACAGACAAATCTTTGCTATAAGCAGATTCCGAATTCATCGATAACTCATTTTCATAAAAAAATGCAGATAGGAGAAATTGCCAGGTCACCGACGTTATGTACTTATGTACTTATCAACAAAGATAAATACATATGCGGTTATTTGGGATACGTGATGCAAAGGTAATATTTTTTGGGATAACAATGTCCCCTATAGCTTTAACATAGTCAAATAAAACAGTATACTTTGAAAATAAGGCTATTTTGAGCACAAGTTAATTAAATCTAGCCCAAGTACTTTCGCTTAAAATAGCATCTTCAGGGGCATTTCGTCAAAATGTAAACTATCCGGCAAGCGTAGAATGTGGAAACATTAAAAATAACATAAAAACACTACACTAAAACGAGGACAAACAGTTTAAAATTACTTAAAGATTCTACGCTTCTAAAGTAGCGTAATAAAACGCGGAAACTGATAACGAATATTTGCTTCCTGTATACATTCCTCGAACTCCATTGAGAAGGTTGTTCCATGGCCTCGAGACGATCCTCAATCGATGCGAGTCTATGTGATAAATTAAATCAGTTAATTTATTGAACTTATCTTCGAATGTACAGCAACTATTACAGACGATTCTTAGTCACTTCGATTTTGTCCTAAATAGTTATTATTATAACTTCTTGTGCAATATTTAAACATTGAATCTGAATATACAATTAAGGGTATTTTATTGTTAACAATCAACAACTTACAACTTGGACATTTGTTCATCTTTTATTGAGTTGCTGAAACTTGACTAGCCCAATATTTTAATGTTGCTAATGGCTTCTCATATTCCGGCTGTATGTATAAGCTACAGGTAAAAGTGCGGCTAACAGCAGACAATAATTATTGATTTTTTTAACACTTGATATTTCAACAGTAAGTAGTAAATCATTGAAAAACCATACTAAAAATACGTGGTGTGAACTCACTCTTTAACTGTAATATGCGTTTGTTATCATTTACAAGTTTTGAATATTTTAAAATTAATTAAGCCACTCTTTTTATGTAAATTTTACACGGCAATATAAACAACGACCAGATTCGATCTCCTTTTTAAGTTCTATACTAACATTATTTAAAAACAAACTAAAAACCAACACACATATTTATATTATTAGAACCGTAATTGAAAATCCTCTAAAATGGTAAAATGCTAATGTTGTCAAAGGCCTGTCTCAAACTATTAATTAATAAAACTATTAATTTAACAATGTGTAAAAAAGTTAAAAATTGTTATTATTATTAAAAAGAAAAACAATTGTACTTAAACAATATTACAAATTTATTTAACATATTTTTACAAATATACCAATTTACGAAAAATTGTGATAACTTTACGCCTATATATCAGTAATAAGAGTTTCCACCATAGCCACCAGACGTTGCAAATACTGATCCCGTGATTTTATTTCAACCTCCTTAATTAAACTTCCAAAGAACTCATTTTCTTCATCAACTAGAGCTGGTGTCTCATCGTTCTCAAGATATAATATTTCTAAAAATGGTAGTGACAGAATACCACCATAAGGTAGATATATTTTTAAATGTTCTTCAAAAATACTTCGTGGAAATAGTTTGTCGGCATCACTACCTAGCTCCTTTAAAAATAAGCAAAACTCAGTGTAGTAATATTCCACGAACTCTTTGAGTTTGGGAAAGTCAGATGGCGATAAGTTGATGTAGAGGAAATAGGACAAATCGATTACTGGTGACTGAAAAGCAGCTCCTTGGAAATCCAATAGAGCCTTGTGAATTGGTACAGTTCTATCGTTATCCTAAAAAGATAAAATAAATTAGTTTTGTAGAACAAAAGTGGTTACTAGTGGTTATTATTTATTTGGGGCATCCAGGTTAAAATATCAATTTACAGACACAACCCAGATAAATGCCTAAATTGCTAGAGAATATTTTAGTTATGGTGTATGGGATGGTAGAAGTAATGCTAAAATGCCTAAATATTACGGTAACATTTGAGGATTAGTGGTCTACTATCATCATGATATCTGAAAAACTTCAAATTCCTTAATACATATTTTAAACTCTACTATACTCTACTTTAATACTAGGAAAATAAAATTCCTATATAATTTAGACTCCAAAATATGCATCCAATAAATTTGAAATAAGAAGGATAAATATTGTTAAATAAAAGAAATTCGTGTTGCCCAAATGCAAGAACAAGACGAGACTTGGACAGTCTTGGTCTTGGTCTTGCACCAAGACACCTGATCTTGGTCTTGGTCTTAGTATTGCACTCCCGGTCTTGGTCTTGGTCTTGTTCTTGCAGCAAGAGTGTTGCAAGTCTTGCAGTTACCCATTAGCCTATTGCTATTTATTAAACGTTTTAGGAAGGTAGAAGGAAAACGTGGTACTGGTAGACGGCAGGCGTCCTGGTTGAAGAACATTCGTGAGTGGACTGGTTTGGATTCTCAATCTTTAATAAGAAAAGCCAGGGACAGAAATGATTTTGCTGAGGTTATCGCCAACCTTCATTGAAGACGGCACTCAAAGAAGAAGAAGATTAAATCTTGAAACAACGTAACAGAGCAAGTACATTTTAAGCTTAAATTAACATAGCCTTAATAAGGACCAACCAAATTAATAAATGTCTAAACAACTGACACCGCGTAGTGTTTGAAGCCACGATTTAAGCGATCCGTCCTATGCTCTAACTAGCTCAGCTATCTACCATGCCCCACGAAAGTCAATCTGTATCTTAATAATTGTTTGCATTTAAATATTAATAACATATAATATGTTATATGAAATAACCCCCCCCCCCCCCCATATATGAAATGGAAATCTTAAAAAAGATCTTAAATATCTACTTAATAAATACCTTAATTTGCCAAAATAAAGTTGTAGGTACATAATATAATATGTAATTGTTAATAAGCTAATAAGTATACATGTTACATGCCCAATTTTCCAGCGGTTATTAAAAAGCTTGTGGTATCTCCACCGAATTTTGCTTTTTCGGGAAGAAATATTTGTAATTCCTTTTTGTGAAAAGATATTAGATACTTCCTTAAACCTGACGTATTTAACAGTGCACCAAGCAATTTGGGATGCATGAATTATTTCGAAAAGCTCATCAAATTTGCTTTTAGGTCTTTCAGATCTATAATTTCAACGCTCATTACTCCGACTAGAACTATTTGAATCTTTGTCCCTTATGTCAAATTGTAAACTTGTTACTGCAGTAACAACAAGGATTAGATGAAAAACAATTATTATTATATTAGAATCAAAGGAAAGCTCAGTTGGTGGGAATGAAGTTCAGTGATGTCGAAAAAGTAACTACTACATTATTTACTAACAGTAAGTATTTAAGTAAAGTATCTAATAAAAACCGAAAATCTTAAGATCAAACGAACTTACCTAAAGTGATGTTCGATCTTGATTATATGAGGCCTCATCGAAATAAGTAAATAACTTGTAGTACCTCCGCCTCTGGCTATTTCCACAATATTTTAAAGCGTAATAAAAAACTCCCCTGCCTCCTGCATCTCTTCTCACACATATCCCTTCGATCCCACACTCAGTCTATTTGAAAGTTGTTGTTGCAACATATGGGTATTTTTCCAAATTGTTAGGGTGGGTTGGGACTTATTTATTTCGATGAGGCCTCATATAATCAAGATCGAACATCACTTCAGGTAAGTTCGTTTGATCTTAAGATTATATTCGGCCTCATCTCATAAATAAATAACTTGTAGATGTTTAAAGTCGTTGCAACAACTTTATTATAATATTGTACAACATATTGCTATGATCCTAAATTATTAAGTTCCTATCTAAAAATGCCATGAGCCAATTAGTTAACACTATGCAAATAACCTAAGGTATTATTAGGTTTTATCTAACCTTAAACTTAAGTTATATGAAAAATCCTTACAAATATTATAGTTCTTAAAAATTCCTTACAAATAGTATAGTTCTTACCATAAATCAGGTTCCTTTACATATTTAAAATCGTATTTGCAAATTCTTTATTACAAACTAAGGGCCTATTGTAAAATTTTGCAAATGTCTTAGAATTTTGCGTCCAACCTGCCGCCAATCTTATAGTGTCAAAACTAACCCTTTTTTAGCTGCTGCGGATGTTGCGGCGTGGCGTGTGCTGTGTGCTTTAAATTGACTTATATCCAGGCCACTCTGTTGTAGAATAAACTTGATCCATCTGCCAATGGTTTGTGGAGTGGCCTTATGAAAAGGTTTCTTATGAGTCAGCAATAAGGCTCTGCACGATCCCCTTAAATCTTTTGTCTTTTCCAAATACATTTTAAGGGCTCTTGCTGCACAAATATTTGGATCCTTCTCAAAAAATGTTAATACAAGAAAGGGTTGAGTTTTATTAATAGCTGTTGTTTTTGTTATATCAGAGATTTTAATTTCAATTTTACCGTCATGCTCTATTATATTATCAATGTCTATAAAACTTAAAGTTTGTATTCTCGGCCCAGTTGCAAGGGCCATTAAGGTGACATTTTTTTTTGTAAGAATTTCAAGTGAAATGGTATTATTTTCAAGAGTTCGCAAATACCTCGGAGCTATGCCTGGATCCCAGGTATTTTCATACCGCGGTAAAGGTCGTCTTGAAGCAAAAATGCCTTTAAAAAATCTCTTTACTCTATAATCCTGTCCTAGTTCTGGACCTGCTATTTGAGCGATCGCCGATCTGTATGTATTTAGCGACCCATAAGATGCCCCCTTTTTTAAAACGAAAGGTCAAAAACTCTAAGACACTTGGCACAGTAACTTTATATGGATTAGTGTTAGCCTTAAAACAAAATTCCCAGCATTATGTAAGTCCTAAATTATATTGTTTTAATGTGGAAGAAGTTATTGAACATATCTAAAGAGTCTTTTGGCACATCTTCCCTTAACAGAGCTTTCCTGATAATTTCCCTGTCACCAGGGAAAGGTTTTTCCAGAGAGGGTGAGGCGTTCTGTTAAAAGAAAGTAAAAATCTGTTAGGTTTAAAAATCAAAGGCTCGCTTATTAATAAGGATTAAAAAATTGGGAACCATAATTAGGAGTTCCAAAGGGGAACAACAACTATTCCTACTGCTTTGTCTTCTATAATTTTCTGAAGTACTCTCAATACTAAGGAAAAGGGAGGAAATGCATACAAATCAAGAGAACCCCAATCTATGGTAAAAGCATCAATATTTGATGCTTCTGGATCCCGTTTCCATGATATAAAAATGGGACATTTTTTACTTAATCTGCTAGCAAATAGATCAATCTTAAGTTTACCAAATATATCTACTATTTTTTTAAAAGAGTCTTTTGGCAAACTTCACTCCGTCTCTTTGTGAACCTGGCGAGACGCTCTGTCGGCCTCGCGGTTATCTTTAGACTGTATATAAGTAGCAAATAAATAATTATTTCTTTGCTCACACCACATCCAAATCTGCCTTGTAATCGAATTAATTTTTCGAACCGGACACTGCCCATTCTATTGATACAAGAGATCGCTGTGGTATTATCTTTGCAACACAAGATGTTACAATCTGATAGTTCTGATGCAAAACTTTTTAAGCCAAAAAGTAATGCGAGAAGCTCTAAATAATTTATGTGGTGTGCCTTTTCATTCTCAGACCAAAAACCATATGTATGGTTTCCCCTACAGTACGCCCCCCAGCCTGACTTAGATGCATCCGTAAATAATTCTAACTGGTAATTTTTAATTGTAATGTGATTCATTGCATTTGGAATTTTATTAAGAAACCAATTGAAATCAACTAATAATGGTTCTGTTACTTTTATCTTTTTGTTGTAATTTCTACCTGATTGCTTCAATGCTAAATATTTATGACGTTCAAATAATTTTGTGTGTAAAAAACCAAATTTTATAGCCGGGCAAGCAGAAACAAGAATTCCGAAAAATTTTGCAAATTTCCTAATTTTACATTCCGTAATCGCAAAAAATATTGAAGCATTTTTAGAATCTTCAATTTTTTGCTCTTGGGTAATGCTACTGTCAAATTATTGGAGTTGAAAGTAAATTATAAATATGTGCACACATTTATAGGAGTAATATTGCTTTTATTCTGATTAATTAAAAAACCTAAATGTGTTAGAATTCCTACAGTTAATTTTACGTTATGTTCACACTCTTTATATGATTTTCCTAGAATAAGAAAATCATCCAAATATACTGTTAACAGAACCCCATTTTCTCTTAGAATTCCTACAACAGGTTTTAAAATTTTTGTAAATATTCTAGGTGCACCACTTAAACTAAAAGGCAAACAATTGTATTCGTATAAGGTGCCATTAAATATAAATCGTAAATACTTACGATGAGATGTTTGTATGGGTATTAAATGGTAAGCATCTCTTAAATCAATTTTTGACATGAACATGAACACTCTTGAGATATGAGTCTGACCACTACTTTATTGTCTTCTGTCTTAAGATGAGGATTTTCAACAAATCTATTAAATTTTTTTAGATTTAAGATAAGACGGTATGATCCATCTGATTTTGGAATTGCAAAAACCTTGGAAATATATTGATCATCACTATGATCAGCTATAGATATTGCACCACAAAGCATTAATTTATTTATAAGGTTTGTAATAATTTTTACCTCTTTTACCTAGTTGACCGCTTATCCTCAGAAGCTACAATTGTTTGTTTTGGTTTCTTTACAAGTGGGATCACCATACCGCTTATGTATGTTATTACCTTTTTTGTGCACTGAAAGTTGTTGCCACCTGTGATTAAAGAATTTTAAACGACCACATACCTCACTAACCTCAAG